TTGGCACTTTCAAAAGCAGCAGTCTATGAAAATGACAAAAAATAATACTAGAAACAAAGCAAATACATGCCCTAAAGTCCTTTTAATTCTTGAAATTATGCTGCCCTTTTATTTGCCATTGCGGAATGTTTTTTCCCTTTTTAAATGCATTTCAAATCAGCTTACACTCGAGGTTATTCAAAACTTGAGCTTATGCACAACGCTCAAAAATGCTTGGTGCACTCAGAGGAAAAAAAGGACAACAGAGAAAAAAGAAAAGTGAATTAGTAATTTTACTGTAATACTGTAACAATTTCCTATGTGCTGTGTCAGGGCACATTTGAGGGAGCCATCTGTAGGGTATCAGCTTCAAGGAGGTTAAGAAACACAAACACCGAGCTGACACGAAAAATCAAAGCAAAAGAGCAAAGAAATACTACTGCAACTCGTGGTACACTTGGCACACCTTCTGCATTTAAAGGCTCTGCTGCCATGCAGACTCCATCTCAATGGCTGGTGTATCACTCAAATGTCCTGAATTAATAACGGAGATACAGCCCACAGATGGCATATAGTATGGTTTGAGACAGACTCATTTTGACAGGTGACAAAGACGACTACTCATCTAGTCATGTGAAATTAAGCACTTACGGGAATGGCAGGTGTGAACTGCCTCCTTTATACAGATTTGGAAGCATCCCATCACTCACAGAAAGTGCTGTACTAAAATCCCAGACAATTCTGGGATTATGTTAAATCACAAAGGAGGCAAGCTAAGGCTGAGATGTGAGTCCCTGCCCTTTTACAGTCTGGATGATCTAGAGTCCCTTGTGATTTGGACACAGCCCTGGATACTTAAAAAGAAAATTAAGTTTCAACCCAAGGAAAAGTGAAATATAGTCAAGGCAAAATCACTATCTAACACTACGCCACGAAAATTAATTTCAAGCTGCTATACATTTTGCCTTATTTTTTACTTTTCAGACTAATTCCCATTCATAATTTATCTACTACCATTGCTTTAATGGATTTTTCCCAACCCTCCCTTTCCATCAGTCACTGGAAGTGGATGTTAAACACTCTCATCAGAGCACTAGCAAGTAGCTTCATAATATGACTGGGGAAAAAATGTCTGGAAGTTACCTCTAAAGCAGGGTGTATTCCTTATGCGCTTTTACTACATGTTGATACCATGGGGTGATAAAATCTTTGACATCTGGCAGTGTGTGTAACTAGAGCAGTAGCTCTGTGCAAAGACATATGGGCAAGAACACACAGGGAAACCACACACAAATACACTCCTTGCAGGTTTTTCTAGGACTATATAATAGATTCTAACACTTCTCCTTCACATTATATAAAACAAAAAATCTGGGGCAAACTATTTTTCCCTGGCCATACTCTATGTCTGTTTATTAAAATTTTCTTCCATGTATATAAAATCCCAAGTTTTCCTCAATATCATGTTGCATTAACATTTTAAGATAGGACAGACACCGGGCAAGGGCGTGTCACAAAAATCTCAGTTTGAGACCAACCTTGAAATAAGCAAGTTATATGCTTCATGCTGTATCCATTCAAACAGACTGCTAAGACTGTGAGAGCACTCTGGAAAATGCAGTACTCCAGTGGCCATTCAAACTCAAGTTTGTGTCAGGTAGGGAGTCAGTTTAAGTTTGCATATGATTTAAAATAGCATAACCATGCCTTCTGGTACTGCTGTCAGATAAATGCCATTCTGTACTTGGAGATATTTGTCATTTCAGAGGATACTGTTAATCTCATGAAAATCCTTACTATACTTGTGTTTGTTTGTTGGTGCTTGAATTTGGTACTTCAGTTTTTTATTCAGTAAATATGGCGGTAGTAGTGCCTTGTGTAGCATGAATAGTCTTGGGATGAGAAGCAGACATGTGCTTTCAAATTAGAAATTCTGCATTCACTTGGGTCTTCTTGTCTAAAAAGAAAGCTATATTTGGAACCATGCAATGTTTTATAGTCATTCAAAATATTAGATGTGTTTTGGCATGCTGGATACTAACCTATGTCATTACAAAAATCCTTTGTCATAATTATTCAGGGTACAATCTTAAGTCCTAGATTTTTATCTACTATTTTCTTTAGCTACAGATGATGTCTGTGCTTACATTAGTGCATAGTATGAAGTATTAAGAGGAGATGAGGAAAACACAGAATATGGTAGTGAAGCCACTACCAAATATCTAAATTTATCTACCAAGCCTTCCAGCATAAGAGCCTTAATGCCCATTACAAGCACTCACAGCTTTTCTTTGTCCCCTGCTCTGCTCTATTCCCACCACTCCTGGCCCAAGGGAAGTTGTCTTCTTCCTCTCCCTGTGCTGGCCTCCATCAGTGGAACAGCAGAGCTGTTGGCTGCCACTTTTTAGTGGAGACTATGAAACTGATTCCCAGACACTGAGGCAGATGAAACACTCTCACCTGCAGGTAAACTCCAGTAAATATGGAAGAAAAGTGAATGAATCAAAATTTTTGCTTTTAGGCTGAGTCTCTAGGGAAGCTTTGTCCAGATCTCAAAATTAATTTCTACATTTAGAGGACTACTGTTGCTCTATGCCACGTATCATTTCGAAAGTGAAACAAATCCCTGCCAAGCCGTTGCATGTGTACAATTGTATGCCAAAAATGTCTGGTTTCTAAAAAAGATACATGATTGGAATGACTTTGTCCTTTGTATTGCATACAAAAAGTGACACAAGATTAACACATTTTCACAGGTAAATTTTTTTTCACAGAAAGCCAAACAACATCATAATTAGAAATACGAGTTCTAAAAAAAAATCAGGAATTTCAATTAATAAAATGCAGCACCTTTTAAAACAATTAATGAAAGATGTCTGCAATGAATAACACATCTTCATATCTTAGGAGATAACAGATCTATATCTGGATTTTATCCTAATCAACTGACATGAGGGTTAATCAGCTTCTCACTTAATTTTGGTTTTTTAAACAAACTACAGTTTTACCCTTTCCTCAGCTGGAAAGTTAAAAGCATTTTGCCTATAAAAAGTTTATTTTGTTTGGTGAAAACGTATACAGGAGACTGCTTACATTCCCTAGTGATCCTTCAGAGAAAAGTCTGTAAGCTTGGAAGAGGAGATTAAATAGAAATGCAGAAAGCAAAACAAAAAAAAAAAAAAAAAGCCCCAAACATTTTCTCTAATTTAGTTTGACAAATCAGCAAAATTATGTCACAAAATTTGAAGACCAGAAATTCTTGGTCACATGTGAAACACAGAAATGTGACTGAATAATCTTTAGAAAAATCATATAAATTGGAAAGTGTATGGAACACTGAAGAGGATGAGCAACAGCAGATGTTGCTGCTGCACACAAACACATGATCTACACAGCAACATTCAAGACACCCATTTTCAATAGGCTTCCATGAATTCCTCTGTCTGTGCCATGACACCTAAAGAAGCATTTTCGAAGAGATAAGAGTACTTCTCCTAAATGAGTCAGGTAGAAAAATAAGTCCTACCTACAGCACCTTCTGGAAAATTTAGAAACAGGAAGACTAGATATCATAAATTCACACATTTGTGACATGCTCACACTTACTATGATTGAAGGAAAGCAACATTCTTTCCACTTTTCATGGATTATATCAAGGGTGCCCCTTATCTCAGAAGAGCAGTTTGTTATTTACAGCAACTGTTTTTTCTATTTTTTTTTAAGCTTTGAGAGCACTCACACAATGACCAGCAGTGACAAAAGCAGCAGTCTATGCCAAAACACTTTTAATAATGTGAATGAAAAATGAAAGCAAAGGAACTAACTGTGAAAATTGCTAAAAGCTTGATTTGCTTTTGTACAAGATGCTGAAAAATGTTAAAATACAAAGAGAAAAGACAAGCTTGTGGCAGTTATGAGAGTCCCAGACACAATGCAAATTCTCAAAAACACTACTACACTGCTTCCTAAAGGCTCCTATTCAGAGTGCTGAGTTAAAAGCCTCTCTTAGTGAAGTATATGTTAAACCAAAGAATTAAATAATAACCTTGCAAGTTTCTTGAAACTTTCTGCAGGTCAAATTCTTTAGCTGGTGAAGTGAAAACCTGCTTATTCCTACCAAGATGAGATTCCCCTGGCCCACATCCTTCCACAATAGGCAAAGGTGCAGTTATAGCACTCTGATGAGAAAATACTGTCCTTGACATCTTAAGAAAATACAAGGGCAACTATTAATGTTACACTATATTTGGGAAAGCAGCATGGATATCAGCTACTTATCTGGGTAGTAAACATGCACATGGTTACAAAATTTACTTTCAACTACATCCTTCCCTCCTTTTTTCCTCCTCTTTACAGTTATGTTTATTCTGTGGATAGTTTCTAGGAATTTCAATAAATTCATTTGGTGACAGAATCCATCAAAACCCACCTACCTTTCAGAAGAAACTCACTTCCTCCTCTACATGAATAAGCTACACTTTCAAATTCACACTGTTATATACTTCTAATTTCATTGAACTGCTTTGTTACATTTATTTTAAACACAGATATACACTTACATCTCTATTTCTTATCAAGGAAGTCATAAACACGCTAAAAATAGGATAATGAATGCATCAATTGAGTGAGACCACTACACAGTGTTTCTGGAAATATCTGTCTGAGGTGCAGCAGGAAGAACAATGCAATCCCATAGTCCATCACTTGCAAATGACGTTTCCTTTAGTTCTTGGAAACACTAGATACACACACAAATGAACATTACTACAATAAAGTCCTACATGCCAGAGATGTCACTAATATTATAATTCCAAAACTACTTAAGGATCTTATTATCTCAATAACTTGCTGTGTCAAGCAAATGGCTTTACACTGTTAGTCTAATGTTGTAAATGCATTTTAAAGTCTATGGTGTTTTTAAGCTACTGCTTAAAATGAAAGACACTTCACATAAGGTTCCATGCTGACTCACTCAATGAATGTCCATGTTGGCATATAAATGATTCCTTTTCTTCCCTTACCTCCAGATGCTCTAAAATATAGGGAGGGTTTGTCATGCCAAGCCTCAGCATAGCTCCCTCAGGAATAACTTCAACCAGCTTCCACAGAAGCGTGGGGAGGTCTGTGCCAATGTCTCTGCCATAAGCCCCTGTGTCTTCACTGGTCAGCCATATCTCACAAACACCCTCTGTGAATAAAAGAAAGAGATAATTAACAAATCTGTTTTAGAGCTGTTTATTTTATCATACAGCTGCTCACTCTTTTAAATGCAGTATTTCACATGGCTATTATGCAGCCAGACTGGGTATTCAATTGCAAAGGGGAGGGAAGGAGAAGGAAGGCTTATCCCATGGGTAGCAGTGGGTTATTAAGTTCATTTTATGAGCACAAGAGTGCTACAACAATGCTGTAAATTATCATTGCTGTGGAGTGATTAACATTCACAGCCAATGACTAATTCTGTGCTGCCTCTACAGCAAGTCAGACAAGTTTAATACTCTGTTTTATTTTTTGAGTCTAATTCATTAAACACCGCAAGAGACATCACCCAAGCAGAGTTTGCACTAATGGTTATTACAGTAGTTAGCTTATTAACTGGTAAGCTTCCAGTGAGCAAAACCAGCTGTAAAGCACTGTGACTGACATTCCTCCTGAAGTAACTATTAAAATCTTGTATTCTTTAAATTATGCAATTAGCAATGCAATATTAAGGTTGCATTGGAAGGTTAGTGACCACTGCATGACTGAGTGATACTATGGGAAAACCTGTTTCCTGGCAATTAATGCTTCATTTTCCATCAATCAGAGCCTTAGGAAGTAGTGCATTTGATTTTTATTGTAAATAGCAACTTCGAACACTGGTATTTGGTAATAATATCCTCATACCCAAAGAGAGAGATTGTACCACCCTTTAACAATAGTTGAAAGCACTGAGGTTTCATGCAGCCACTTCTGCCTGCCTGCCCAGCTTCCATCCTTTTTTGCAATACAATCCCTCTACCCTTCCTTACTACCCCAAAGCAAGAAATAAGCCATCAAAAATAGGGTGTGTGTGAAGGAAACACCTGTGATTTACAGTAAGATAAGATACCATTACCTCAGTGAAGAGCTAAACTTCTAAAACCAATCATGAACTGGTAAAAGAAATTACCAAACACTAGAAGGTGCATAATTCATCAAAGCACACTTTGGGCCAGCAGAGAATGTATTGGAAAATGTAAATGTTTATGTTACAAATTTATACTCAAATGAGGAAAACTTAAGCACATACACCAACTTTAATCACATAAAAAGCAATAAACCTAGAAACCAAATGTTTTACAAAATGTAAATCCAAGACTGCTACTCCTAAATTCACACTGCAACAATAATGGCAGAGAGCAAGCCATGCTGAGCATCAAAGTTAATCCTGTTGGCACAGAAACGTTTTCAAGGTAATTTATTACTTAGAATGAAAAATGCTTTACAATTTAAGGTTAACTGGAAAACTTCTTACTTTTTAAGCATTGCTTCAAGAATAGGTTAGTGAGGGAGATGTACAATTTGTATCTTGAGAGAAGTCTGGTGTAAAGCATTCCTAAAGTGCTCTTTGGTCGACCATTTGCAGTCACAAGTTTCTAGTCACACTCAAACTGAGCTCCCTGTGCAGAATCTGCCTGCAGGACACAATTACACTGTGGATTTCAGTGCACTTGCTAATGTTTTTGGAATTCATCTCACCACAGGCAGTACCCACCATGGAACATACTCTTGGGTTTGCTGCCTGCCCTACATTTTCCTGAAACACATGAAGAAAGAAGTGAATTTTATATGCTGTATGTTAAAAAAGAAGAGAAATGTAAGGAATTTAAATGATTGATAAGGTCCTGTTTTGCTTAGTTTGGGTTTCTCTATGTGAGTCTCCAACAGCCATAAGAGCACTAAAAAACTTATTGACTGGCTGAGTTTCTACTGTAACAGAGTAATTCTCATTGGCAAGCTTTCAATCTAAAGAGTTGCATGGGGCTTGGGTTGGATTTCCTTTTTCTTTTTTTTTTCATGAAAATGGCTAATGGAATACTGCCTCACAGTTACCAGATGAACACTAAGGAAAAAAAAAAATAAATCACCGGCTAGGAATGGAAATAACATTCCGGTGGAAAACAACAGCGAGCTTTTAAAGCTGCATAGGTGGGGACCATTAGCCCCCTGGTGGGCTGAAACTTCAAATTAAATCACAAGAAGAGGAAGCAGCTGTAATAGTAAATCAGCAACAGCAGGAATAACTGTCTCATCTGCTCTCCGATCAGGGTGTTGAACAACAAGCAATGGGAATAACGCATGCTGAGAGATCCAAGGATGCAGTCTTATTACCGGGGGCAGGGAGGGGGAAGAACACCTGTATTTTAGGAAAAAGTTCATGAAGATCCATTTTGTCAACCTGTACAATTTCAGGTTGAAAGCTACTGTGAGTGATAAATATTTACAAGGAGGATCATTAGGATAAATCAACTTTGTACATAACTGTGTGAAAGAGGTTTTGAGTGGACTGATTTTAGGCCATTTTTTTTAGTCCTTTGTATCCCCAGTTTAGGAGCCTAAACTTACACCAGGTAAGAAGAGAAAACAATAGACTTCTCAAGCAATATTAATGAAGTCAGTCAACACCTCTGATTTTCGGTCTACCCCTCCAAACTCCAGCCCTCCACAGGAACCTGTTTAAATCCACTGTCTGATACCATACATAATATTTTTCCTTTCTTTTGCAGTGAACCTCATTCGATCATTCACCACTCTGTTACTGGGCAATTTTGGTGCTAATAAAGGCAAGCTGATTTTGTAAACAAGAAGATTGATCCAAACAAGAGGCTTCAGATGTGCAAACTCAGAGCATTTGTTACACTATTAAGGCCAATTATCGCTATATCCAAGTAATTACAATTCTGCCTTTGGTCACAGATCATAGTTTTTTCTCACTCTGCCATCACTATCCAGCACAAAAGAGAAACCTTAACAGTTGGCCTCTGATCTGCTGTAACTGGAGATTACTGAGAATGAAAAATGTTGGAAAAAGAATAGGTTCCAAGCAAATGAAAAAAGTTCTGAGCCTATTCCTTCTCACATGTCTCAATACTCACTGCAGATTATCTGATACAGGTTTTAATTTCATTTCCGTGGGGTAAGCAATCCTTATCACGAAGGAGATAAGAAATCTGACATCTATCACTTTTACAAAATATGTGCATTCCTGGTTTAGAAACCATTTGAAATTATTATTCTAGCATTTTTATTTTGCTTTGTCTTCATCTCACTATTGTAAACACTGGTTTTGGCAGTACCAAACATCCTTCAAACTGAAGAGAAGTGTACTCCATCAGAAAAATGAATTTATTTCAATCTACAAAAAGATCTGAGGATGTTAAAATACTGGACACCAATCCCAGTGAAATTCTCACATTTGATAACTGACTGCACAAATGAAATTCAATCCCCAAATCCTCATGATTTTTCTTCTCCTTCCTTCCTTGTTCTTCTCTTTCCTGGCAGATTTTTTAATGTGAACCACAGTGGCTTTTCCAACAGCACAAATCTCTGCAGGCTGCTTCAGTGGGAGGCCCCTGACTCTGACCTTCTCAGTAGCCCGCATATGCTTATCAACAACTGCCTGACCTCCTTGTGATTCCTCCTCCAACACTGAATTCTTATGGCAGCCTGCAGGGCTGCACAGACCACAGAAATACCTCTCCCAGTGCACCACAGAAATCTGAAAGACCATCTGCCAAGGGGAGGCCTGACATAAATGCTTGTGTCTTGCAGACTTGAGGACAGTCAATCTGACCATTCCTGATCACCGCCTTAGAAACATTTAAAAAACAAAAAAATCATGGCCAAAGATGAAGGCTTGGAAAACACCAAATTCATTGTTCAGAATGAGCTTAGCCTACTTTATTTTCTCTTCAATTATTTGAGTTTTTCCTCATTTATTCAGCATGGATTTTACAGGAACCATTTACATACTTGATGCAGTGCATTGTGCTAGATTACTTTGCTGAATCAAAGCCTTAACTGGGAAATTGTGAAGAGCTATGCAAATAGCTGATCACTGTACCAATCTGGATATAATGCAAGTTTAAACAGAAACTGAGATTTGGAGGATTCAGTTTCCTCCTGTAATTCTGAAGTACTCTGCAAGGATCGATTCAGCATCATCCAAGTGTCCTCCTAAGACAGTTCAACCACGTGGATCAGCACTGAAGCATCCCATTGCAGGGACTTTGCTGAAAGAGAAAATCAAACTGGGAACAACTCACTGATGCTAAGGGAGATTTGGAAGGATTCATTTCCAGTTCACCAAGAAACCCTTACTCTTATTTCATTTGAATGTATACAGGGCTTCTGGAAGACAGAAAGAATGGAGCTGGACACAATCCTATACAAACCCTAGTTATTCAGTAACTAACGCCAAACTGTCATAATTTGAGAATACAGGATTCTTGCATTCTGGCAAGCAGATGATGCAAGTAGACTGAAGTAAAAAAGACAGGTCTAAGTTCATGGCTGCTGAAAGAGGCAAACTGTCAGGCTATGACCTAAAGGATCAATGCTTTTTCTGTATTTTGTGAAGTGCAGGTTCAGCACCATATTGTACAGATAAATGCAGTGCTTGTGACTGCATTGCACTGTGTACAAACTGTCTCACAGCCTGAATTTCTAGAGGATCTTTATTAATGCTCAAAAGTATTTCCTCTTTTTAAAAGACCTATTTTTTTACCCTTCTGGACAGTCTTAAGGACATGGAAGATGTCCCTAATGTCCCTATTTTCTCAATGCTTGCCACAAACAGGAGAACAAGATCTGAACAAAATCATGAATGTGGGCTGACCTACTACAATTGCAATTGTGTTCTGAATATTTCCAAGGACAGCAATACCACAGCCACTGTGGGTTATCTATTCCAATATTTGATCAGCCTAAGAGGAAAAAATTTTTATTTTCACCTAATTGCAATTTGCTGCATTCCAGCTTGTCAACTATCATCCTACCTCTGCAAGACCTGTCTGACTTCAAGACAGTCTGGCTCTGTCTTCTCTCTACCGTCCCATTAGGCCATTGTAAACAGCAATAACTCCTCTTAGCTTTCTTTTCACAAATCCATTTCTTGTCTATTATGTGCTCCATCCTCCTGACCATTGCAATGTCCCTCTGCTG